GCTGGCGGGGAACCAGGGCGGCGCGGGGAGGGACACACGGACAGCAGGCCGGTTACACGGGGAGGACAGAGCCCCGGCAGCTTGTGGAGCCGCGGACGGCCCAGCCCGTGGGGCAGGATTTGGGGAAGAAGCGGCTGTGCCGAAGCCGAAGGGGATGTCGCCTCGTCCAGGGCAGTGACACCTTCGCAGTTTGCTCCTGCGATGGCAATGTGATGCTGGCGCTTGGGCGGGAGTTTTTTAGCACTTGAAAGCCAAATTCTGTGGAACTGAGCAACTTTTCGCTAAATGGAGAGTGAGATTTTCCAAAAGCACTTAGGTGCTCGGAGAAAGAGGTGGCGGTGCTCGGGTACAGCAGCCTTCACTCATTCCTCAACCACAGCTAATCTCTTGAAATAAACCTCACACCACACCCCCTCAACAGTCCCCGCAGGCCTCCTGAGCACGCCTGGGAGTCCTGAGCACTAGCACCAACCTTTCCATCACCTCTGCCCTCTTCACGCACCAGCTCCAAACTAGTCCTGCTTTGTTGCAGAGACAAGGGAATTGGGCATCCAGCCACTGAAACTGTAAATCTTGGGAGAAAAGAGGGAGAGAAGCGTGCTTGGCTCCTTCCTCCTGGCAAGCACAGGCGTGTTCCCTGCAGCACGGGCTCTGGCTCCTCCGCGCTCGCGTAAGTGGTCCCATCACACGCGTTAGCCAGCAAGTGGGAGTTGAGAGCACTTTGGGGGGGGGGAGGGGGGGGGGAGACGGGCCAGCAGCTGAAAGGAGGCCCCCAGCCTCCCACCGTGCTCCAGCTCTGTCTCAGCAGATGCCCGCACGCCCTGCCGTGATGCTGCCGAGCCAAACTGCTCCAGCAGCCCCGGCTCTGCCTCATGCAGGTTTGGCCAGGCTGGTTTCAAAGGCTGCAGTTTACCCTCCCCTCTGAAAACCACCCCTCCGTTCCTCTGCTGCTGCCACCCCCCTGCGGCCCGTGACGCTGCTGCCTGCCCTCGCAGGAGCCGGTGCCATCCGTGACTGCAAGCCCCAGAGGACTAAAACATCTGGACCGCCATCAGTACATTCCTCGCTAATGAGGCTATTTCGGGCTGTCTTGTCTCTGTGGGTTGAGCGCCTGCGCTGCTTTTCAGAGCAGAAGGAGCCACCACGCTCGGGACCGTGCAAACACAGAGTGTTTGGGTCTCATCCCCAAGGACTGCAATCCAACCTGCCGTCAGAGACGGTCTTCTCGTTCGGGTTTGTAGGTGTGAGATCTTGGCTGCTGTGTCTCTGGATAAATTTTATCTGACCCATTCCCCAAAAGCAGAGCAGGGAGATGCAGAGCAGTGAAAGGCAGCCGGGAGGTGTGGGGGTCACATACTGTACCTGAGCTCCTCTGTGAATGTGGGAGAGCAAAAAAACAGCTCGACTCCAGTTCTGAAAACGGTGCCAAAAGCAGCTTTTTAAGCCTGGAAGAAATATCTGAAACTCCAATCAGGGAAAAGAGTAGCCTGCGGGTAATGAAGCCTATTTTGGCTGAGAGTTGCAGACAGTGGAGGAAGCCCAGAGAGCAGCACATCCCTCCTGTGCTCCTCTGACACCTCTCTTGGAAAGGTGCATCATCCAAACGGAGCAGGGCTTTGGAAAAGCACCTGCTGAGCCCATGCTATCACGGCGACACTGGTGATGGGGGACTGTGCTGCCCCAGGGAGCACGCTGAGCTCATGTGAAAGCGCTGGAGCCAAAGCTGGAGGTACCACATGGCAACTGTCCGGGCCAGAAGCAGAGGAGGTGAGAAAGTGCAGATGTTCACAGCAGAGCCCATGAGGTTTTGCTGGAGAGACGGCATCGCCACCCAAGCCGGCACAGGATAAGGAACTGCTCAGTGCTCCCCACCACGGGGCTCAAAAGCTGCCCAGCTGCCCCAGCTCAGTCTCCATACCAGTGTGGCTAGTGGTGGTCGTCACCGCCTAAATAAAAGCAGGCGCCACAATAAATTTGAAAAATGTTTTGTGTACAAACAAGATTCACCACAGTCTGTGCTGGGAATACTGTAAGATTGACGGGTTGTATAAATACTGGGTAAAAAAATGTGGATTTCTCACTCTGAATCTATTCCATGGATCGCTTAAAACTCTTATGAGGCTTCAGCTTGAATTTCTAGAATAAAGTAATGAGAATTCAGGAGGGAAAATGTTTTTTATATCACTTTAAGGGGCTCAGATGCTAGTCTGACAAGGCAATGACGGACTTCGCTGAAAAGAGTCTAAGCCTCATTTAACTGTGTCTGCAGCACCACCTGATCCAGCACATCATGGGCACTGCCGCCATCGGTCCAGCATACACGTACAGCACCCCCTTCCCCATGCCAGGTGAGTGAAACCACTCTTAAAACAAGCATTTTCAAACTACACAAAACCACAGCATTTTCTCTGTATATCTTCTTGTGGATGAACTTGTTTAACCCCAAGATTTTGCTCTGCCATCACAATTTTAGGCACTCGCCTCCTGTTCCCTACCCTCCTCCTGGCCATGGAAGAAGTGAAGTTCAAAGGGAAAGGGACAGAAATCTGCACAGCCAGCAAAGAGCCCACAGCTCATGTGGGGCTGGAAACAGAGCAACGGGGGAAAAATTTCTGGTTTCAAACAATCGTACAACTTAGGGAAAGAAGAAGAGCGATAGATGGTTTGACTTGCATTTTATGGAGAACCTAAAGTGCTCCCCCTGACAATGTACGTGCATATATATATATATATATATATATATAAATAAATACCCACACACAGAGAGAACTATCTAAATAATTATTTGCAGCTGAAGGGCTGGGGGAAGACTCTCCACCTTGAGAGCACCTCCCCAGCTGGCAGCAGGGCTCAGAGGGTAGCCAGGGCCTTGCCCTGTCCCAGCACACAGAGGGATGTGCACTGAGCGTGGCTGGGCCTCAGCCAGGCGCTGGGCAGGAGGTGGGTGCTGTGCCCCAGGAAGGGGTGTGCTGCGAGTTACTGAGCCACACGGCTACTCCACGGCAGGGCTGCAAGAGGAACGGGCCTTTTCTCCAGTGTAAAATGCTGTTTGGCTCAAAACGCACTGAGAAAGAATGGTTTTTACCTTTTCTGATAAAACTGGTGGAATGGCTATTGAAAAGCCATTTCAGGCAGAAAAAAAGCGCAGATATTTAAATTCAGCAACTTCTAAAACACAAGGTCTAACACATCTTGGAGACATTTACTTACTTTTCCTGACATTTGTTTTCTACCAAACCATGAAGAATTTATAAAATATTTTAGTCCTGTCTGCATTCATGCCCAAAACCCAACTTCATCCAACTTTTTATTTTCAGATCCAAGCCACTTGTCATCACTGATAGAGTCAGGCTGAAATCACTGGAAAAAATCCCACTGGCTTAAATAAAAACAAAATTTACCCACTGACTCCAAAAAACAAACAAAAAAACCCCAACCAACTAGCTGGGACACAACTCAGTGTTAGAATATATTCAGATACTTTGAGAAATTGTGATTCATTCTTGTCTCCTGCGCACTGATAGTATATAAAAGGAGCCAACCTGCTGTGAGCTCCTGTGTTCAACCTACAGAGGATACAGATCTAAAACAGCTTTGAGCCACTCTCATGCCCAAGGTATCGAGTTTTTGGCTTCCAGCAGTCCCAAGTCTGGCCCCTTTTTCAGTTTCCTCCAGAGTCCCAAGAGTGGCCACTGGTGCTCCGTGGGTGATGATGCTCCGTCCCCTGCAGCTCCCTGCTGAGGGACAAAGTGGATGCTTCAAGCCTGCACGGGCTTGAAGAACGACTGGAACAAGACCATGTGAAACAAATCCATTGGGGGATATTAAATTCAAGGACAGCCCTGTCAGCTCAGGAAGTCCTTGAGATACTAATTGCTGGAAGCTGGGAAAGTAGACTGGGAAAGTATCACAGGGTGCTTGCCTTGTTCTGGTGCTTTTATCTAAGCATCTCCCGCTGGCTCTGTCAGAGGCTGAATCTGGGGCTTGCTGGACTTTGGTCTGAGCCAGCACAACCATTTCTATGATCCTACACTGCCCAAATTTTCCTTAGCATTTTGCCAAAATTTTCTCCCTTTCTTTTTGTTTTTCATAATAGCAATGAGTTTGGGTGTTTTTTCTAACTGCTGATGCTGTTTTGGGAATTCTCTCTCCCTCAAGCATCATAATCTGCATTAGTTATGCAATATACTGTTAGCATGTTTTCTGACAAGCTTTCATTTCACCCAAATTCATGTCAGGCTCCTCCAAGACATTCAATG